TTTGGGCCTAGACCGTTCTTCAGAAGGGTCTGAAGAAAACGTCAGCCTTCCTGCTCCCCTGATGCTGCTTGGCCTGCTGCGTTCATCCAGCTCTACACCTTGTTATTTCTTATACTAGTAACCTTCACTTACAACAACAATGTTAAGCTATCCACTCTCCACAAACCATTCAGAAACTGCTCTGTAAATCTGTTCATTTTTAAGTTCTATCTTTTTGGACTTATCCAAGGATTAGAAATAAGGGGCATGTATTGTTTTTAGTATTTCTCCTTTTAAAACACAGGTTAATTGGGGTCTGGGAAAAAGATATACTCAAGGCAAGAGATCTATCTGAAGTTAACCTTGTTGCAACCAACAGAGAGAGTGAATGAAACAAAAATGGGGAACCTGTTTATCCCTGCTCATGTGGGAGCTTAAACATTTAGGGCTGTCATTGGGAACTATAAAAATTGAAATGCATTACCCTGAGTCTTGTCGTAACAAGACTCGTAAATGTGTGCTAACCCAATAAAGTCAGCTTGTGTTGGATTGGTAAGTGCTGGTCTGCTGATGTTTCTGAATGATTTTAGTGGGAGTCCCTAAGAAAAGCCTGAATCACAACATGAGCAGGATCTGCCTTCACAGTTGTTAATCCCTTTGAAATGTCTTAAATACCTCAAATTTAGAGTTCTGTCTAAATTAGATGGCAGTTATTAACTTTATAGTCTAACTGACTGGCATAAACAAGCCAAACTTTATATATTGACTGACATGAAAGTGAAGACTGGACATTGAGTAAATTAATGGCATAATACAGTTCTTAACCATTAAAGATCAGTTTGAAACCAGTTTTATATTGCTTTGCTCAGGTGCAAGTGCAGTGTGTTCAGTGTGGCATTTGTGGTAAATGAGGAGAACAGAAACATGATCCTAAGTGTATGTTTACTCATGCTTATCAACCCTTCTGGTCTGCTTTTAAACTAGGCCTCCTCCAGTGTAACAATGACGCCACTCGCAAACTGGAGGAGCAGCACCACATATTCCACCTCAGGAGCCTACAGCCCAATGGCCTAAACGTGGATTTTACCAGTTTCATAATGTCCCCATCCCCAGCCTCATACCACGACTAACCCTCCCCCTCATTCCGGCCTCCTTGACCTGACACAAACTGTCCATCTTCTTTCCCAACTATCTGCCCCTCCCATCCCACTGACCAATCCCCACCACTCCCTACCTGCAGTCACCTATCACCATCCCACCTACCTTCCCCAGCCCCACCCCTCCTGTCTCTATTTATTTCTGAGCTCCCTTCCCCCTCCCCATTTCTGAAGAAGGGTCCTGACCTGAAACATCAACTTTCCTGCTCCTCTGATGCTGCCTGGCCTGCTGTGTTCCTCCAGCTCCACTTTGTGTTAACTCTGACTCCAGCATCTGTGGTTCTTACTATGTCTGCACAGAGCTGAAGATCTGTTCCAGATGTGAAAACCTAAATGGGAAGCATGTTGCTCCCTGCTTTCATGATGTTAATTGAACAAAGCTTTACTTCTTTCACTGTAAAATAACAATGAACCTGTCTTCATATTTTGCCATTTGGGTCCCCAAAAAAGTTCACCATTCAAAAAAGTGCTTTTGATCTGTTGTTACTATTACTCTACAAGGAGATACAGTAGTCAGTTTATGCACAACAAAAACAATGAGGCAATGATTAGATAATCTGTGGTGGAGTGGTTTGAAAGACGAATATCAGGCAGAATCCTGAGAACCATCTGACTCTTCAGATGGTGCCACAGTGATCTTTTACATCTACTAAAGAAGGAATATACTGGATGTGGGGGTATCCTTAGTTTGAAATCTCATCCAAATACTGGACTCGAGCATCAACTGAGATGAAAGGTCAGAGTACCATGTCACCATCTAGGTTGGAATAGAAATGAAAATGCTCTAAAAATGACAGGCAGGACCAGATTCCAGGATTCCACACCTCATTCCTGTTCCTGGCAGTTTTGGCTAGAATGAGATAAAGGTGTGAAAACAGCCCGCACCTTGGATTTAGCCAGTATTTTATGGGTTGACATGCCCTCTGGAGAAAGATGTTTCCAATTTCTGTAATTTTTTGTTTGAACTTCAGTGCTATGAAAATGCCTCATAAATTTAGATAACAATGACAATAGGTAAGTTTTTTTTTGTTTCAGTTAGTATTTAAAGTAGAGAAATTCTGGTAAGGTTCTATCTGCTTTATTGAAGTGAAACTGAATTCTGCTGCACTTCCTTCAATTTTTTAACTGATGGAATTAAATGAGCTGCTGATAACTGAAAATAATATGTTTTTTTCAGGTTCTTATGAATAAAGTATTTTATGGAAAAGATGAAAAAGTTCAAGCGCCGGCTTTCTCTGACCTTGCGTGGCAGCCAAACAATTGATGAGTCTCTGTCTGAGCTTGCAGAGCAAATGACCATTGAAGAAAATAGCAATAAGGACAATGGTGAGTTACCTTTTTAGGAAAGGTTTAGAGCTAACGTAATGCACATTTGTTAAAAGTTAGTTATTTTACTATTGCTGTTGTTGTAATATTCACTTTTGAATTGAATCCTGGATATAAGTCATTAATTATTCTTTATGAAAAGCATTTGATTCTGGTAATTTTTTTTAAAATCAGACTCTGTGACAACACAGCACTTCATTTATGGCAAAACAAAACCTAATTTTATTCATAATTCAATCCAGACTGTGAGTTTTAGTCAAATTTACTCTGCTTCATGTAATTTTTTGCACAGATAAAAGCCCTAAAGCTAGTAATGTTTCTGTGAGAGGTTACTTGATTGACCGCGATAAAATATGGCTCAGTAAATAAAGGAATAGAGTGCGAAAGCAAGGACATTTTGCTAAGCTGTTACAAATCACATGTTAGCCCTCATCTGAAATGCTGTCCATTGAATTGTGGTCGGTGGAGAAGCTGAAATACCACTGCCAACTGCTTTTAAAACTGTGACCATACCATTTCCATTTTCTGCAGCAGGGATTTATTCTCTCTCGGCTGCAATGTGAGTCCAGCAATAACTTGACTCGAGAGACTTCGCTGCATATCGCCAGGAGTCCAAGCACCCTTTGACGTCGAGTTGAAATTAGGCCCCTTGAGCAATGTCCTCAGATCAATGATAGGAAAATGGTTAATCATTTTCAGTATTCTATTTGAGGTACTGCCTACTCACCACCAACATTTCCCACCTGTCATGGAGCTGGTGATCAAATACGAGGGTTGGTAGTGTTGTCTTAGTGCTCCCTATGTTTTAAAAGTTGTACTTCAGATATGCTTGCTAGGAACAGGCCTAAAAAATCCATGTAAAATTGGTCTAAATGCTGGGCTATCAGCTTACATTCATTCTTTACAGTTCTCAGTGGAGCCATCAGTGTGGGCTTCTTTGGAGTCCATTTAGGCACGCCACACTTTCTGGATCTGAATGGATGTGGGCCCACAATTGTGGTATCAAGACCGCAAGATCCTGCACCATTCATGCCGAATTCTGGATATCACCTTTTTCCTTTTTAAAAGTGCATTTGGAAAGGGTGTATTCGCACTTTACTAGAAGCATACCAAGTATGAAGGACTTAAGTTATTGGGACAACTATAGAAGCTGGAGTTATTCTGCTTTGAACAGAGAAAGTGTCTGAAGGCATTTTCGGTTAGAGTGGTAGAAATAGATTTGAAGTGTGACATTCAAAAATAAATTTAAATTCATTAAAAAGGAGGGAAAATACAGGGCTATGGAAACTAGCAGAGGAGTGGGAGTATTTGGATAGCTGCCTTGAAGATCTGCCTCATATGTTGGAATGAATGTATACTGTGTTGTACAGTTCTATGAAATAAGCACATAGATCCACAAACAAAAATGTGTAAATGTAACAAGTGGGAAATTTGAAATAAAAATGAGCAAAAGAGTTGTGTCTTGGAAAGAATAGATAGGGTACCCCTTGGGGTTGCTTGCAACTTCATGGTCAAAGCACTCAACGAAGTAAGAATGGAAAGCAGGTGCATTCCATAAAGAGGCTAGAACTTGTAAAGGAAGGAGTTGAAAGTGACAATAAAATTAGTTGATTTGCCATGCATTTAAATGGAATTTAATAATGTAAATATAATAAAATAAAAGAACTGTGGAAATCTGAAATGAAAGCAAACTGGTGGAGAAACTCAGCAGGTCTAGCAGCACCTGTAAAAAGAGAAGCAGTTAACATTTTGTGACAAAGGGTCATTTATTTCTGTTTGTGCTGTCAGTTCATCTGTCTTAATTTCTGCTGCATTCTATTCTGTCAGTTTCTCCATCTCAGTCGCATCTGTTCAGATAATGTTACCATTGGCCGAGCTGACTCCACAACCTTTTTCCTCAACCGGGGATGCCCCCTCCCCTGCCCCCCACCCCTGTTCCCACCACTGGTAGACAGGAAGTTCAGCCATGTCTGACCCATCTCCTGGCTCTTTGCCCTCACAGTGCTCTTCCCCTCCTTCCCAGAACAACAAAAAGGTTCCCCTTGCCTTTATTTTCCACCTTGTAGTCTTCTCATTCAAAGGATCATTCTCTGCCATTTTCACCAACTCAAGCAGGATTCCTAACCAAACACATTTTTCCTGCCCCCTCTACTGTCAGCATTCTGCAGGGACTATTGCTTCCATGATACCTTGGTCCAATTCTCCATCACTCATTACCCACCTAGCCTGTACATCCCCAGACACTATGGACAATTTGGAATGGTCAATTTACTCAATTTGCATATCTTTGAACTGTGGGAGGAGACTGGAGTGTCCGAAGGAAACCCCATGCAGACACAGGGAAAATTGCATATTCCACACAGGCAGTCAAACGTGGGTGGAATTGAACCCAGGTCCCTGGTGCTGTGAGGCAGCAGTGCTAACCAGTGATTGCCTCCTGAAACTGTGTCCGAGTACCCCTTGCCCTTCCTGCTGTGCCATAGCATCTACAGCTCATACTCCAGCTTATCAAATCTGAACCAAATTTTCTTGAGCAGCCAACACTTTGGATGTAGTCACTGTTGTTTGTATTGGCATCCACAGCGCACTCGTGCAACAGCTGCAACACATTGCCTGCTAAGCTACATCTATTCTATTTATTTAGTTAATTTGGATGTTAATGTTTTAAAATTGAATTTGTTAACCGTACTCTTCAAATGCAATTACGTCTCCTGATTTAAACCTCTTGGCCAATCAAAAGTGACATGGAAGAAATACCCACCAATCAGCCGCCTGTTTTCCTATGATGGTTCATGTTGGTTCTAATGGATAGAAATAGGCTTGCCACCAGCTTTATCCCCTGGTGCCCTTCTCATGCAGATCCACACTCCTCTTTCTGAAGTTGCTATTTCTCTGCTCGCTTGCATTGAAGCTGCTAACCCTGCTTTCTCTCACTGTTTATGAAGCTGCTGACACCATCCCCTCTTATGTTGTTTCAGAAGCACGGGGTCCTCCTTTATTTATTTATTTCTTTCTTTTAGGCACTTGAGGGTTTCTGGATCGTTCTTTCTCTTGCTATTTTTGATGTTGATGACTAGCTTCAGATCCTCCTCCTCTTGTACTTTTCCAATATTTCTGTAGGCCTGATCGGAACAGGAGTGGTTTACAAGGTAAAATCTGTGGCACCACAGGAAGTTAGAAAACCAAAGAAGATTATTTAGCTGATGCAATGCTTTCTAGATGTTTATTGATTAGCCAAGAGTTTGTATCTTTTATTTCCACTCCAGCATATTCTATACCTAAACCTATAATCAATTTTTCATCTAATCAAGCATTTGTGCACAAGTCAGCTCCTTTGAGGAATTGCACATACACAACTGTGCTGAAAATTTCAAGTGACACTGACTTAAGCAACTTACCCTTGCACTCCAAAATTAATTAGAGGGAATTTTGTCTAACTGTTTCTATAGACAGTTTTGAGCAAGAAAATTCAATCTAAGGTAGAACAGCTTTATTCTGGAAATGTTTTAAACAGTAGCAATGAAAATTTGAGAAATCAGGTGATTAATTACTTGGATATTTTTCTACCAGTCACTTGTAGAGTGCTGAGCAGGATAATTATCATTAGAATTGTGTGCAAGTACAATTTAATTATATATTTTCTTTTGAGATATATTGGCAAGTTAATTTGTCTTTTTGTAAATGCAAATATTCATTTTCTCTTTCATCATCTTTTTGATGAGACCATTGATTTCAGAGTAGGCAGTGCTGGAAATTCTGAGTTAATCAAATGTATTTAGCTTTAGATTTTGTGACTGTTCTTCCGAGAGACTAGATTTAACTCCAGGTTCCAAAAGTGCACCAACAGCACGCTCGTTCTCTTTGCAATCTAGTGAATACTTGATCTGATGAAGAGTAACCCTTATCTTATGAGCAGACTACGGAGAGGTGGTGGCATCATGATAATGTTACTGGACTACTAATCCATACACTTGCACTATTCTGTTTTCTGGAGACGTTTGTTGGTAGAGTTGGAATCCAGTTAACAAATCTGAAGTTGAGTATTGCTGAAAAGATTTTTTCCCACAGTTTTTCATGTTGGACAAATCAGAACAATATGCAAGAATTATCAAGGTAAAGGAAAACTATGTTTATACTGTACTGGAGAAGAGTGCTGATTGGTTTTGGTGCATGTGTGCCACAGAGAATGCTACTGTACCAGTTAAAGATAATTGACTGTTAACTGCCAGCTTTGTTTAAATTTTGCCCTGAGGGAGTGAGCAGTATTGTCCTGAGAAATAAACTAGAGAATGCTGTCAATAATGTCCTTTAGGGGAGAAAATTTGCCATCCTTCCCTGGTGACTCCAAACAATGTCTTCTGAAGAGACACAGTAAGCCACTCAGATGTACTGCACTGCTACAGACCTTAAGAAAAGGAATGACACCTGACATATTAGTTTTTACTGGAATGAAAATGGCAAATCCAGCCCCCATGAAAAGTCCTCCTTGCAATATCTGAAGTCTTGTGCCAAAATGGGAGAGCTATCTCCAACTACAGTTTGGAACGACATAGTTACAGGATCATACTATACATCACCATCACAATCTTGGCTACGGCAAGACAGACTCAAAGAAGTGGTGGCACAATGGTGTACAGTCGGAAAGGAGTCCTCTTGGGAGTTCTAAAGATTTGCACTGGTCTCCCATTTCATGGTATCATGGACAAGAAAGTATCCAACTGATTCCACCTTTGGGGCCGCACTCAGCCTCTGCCCTCCCCACAAGCTGAAGGTTCAGTACTCCTCCATGTTATACACCACTTAGTGGAAGCACTGATGATGGCTGAGACACAGAATATCTTCTGGTTGGGGACTTCAATGTCTACAATCAAGAGTCATTTGGTAGCACCAATACTGGCTGAAATGGGTGAGCCCTAAAAAGAGCCGGGGTCTATAGCAAGAGGTGAGAGGACTAACGAGGGAAAAAGTTACTTTCTTGCATTCTAACTAATATAATGTCACAGGTACATCCATCCAAAATAGTATTGGTTGTAGTTACCATCATGCAGTCCTTGTGGAGACAAAATTCTATCTTCATGTTAGGATAACCTCTGTTGTGTTGTATGGCATTACTAGTGTGCTGAATAGGATAGATTTTGAACGGATCAAGCAGCTCAAAACTAGGCATCCACAAGATGCTTTGAGTCATCAGAATTTTACTCAGCCAAAATCTGTAACCTCATCAGCTAGTCACACAGAGATTCCCAGTTTAAAGAGCCAGACCATTCCAGCTCTTCATACTGAGATTCCCAGTTTAGAGAGCTGGAACATTCTGGCTGTTCACACCGAGGTTCCCAGTTTGGAGAGCTGGACCATCCCAGCTGTTCCCATGGAGAATTGCAAAATGTCGGGAAAAAATTAAAAATAAACAGCTAAATGATTGTAAGTGGCCCTGACTGAATTTCAGTGCTCAGCCAGTTGAACTTCAGAGAGTGAACGAAAATCGCGTCTCGCAGGCAGGTCTTCAGTTGGTGATGCAAAAGGCAGGAACATGGATGAGAAAAATGCCGGATCAACCATGATCCTGTTGAATGGTGGAGTAGGCTCAGGGTGCTGAATACCTACTCATGTTCCTATTTACAGAATCATAGAACCCCTACAGTGTGAAAGCAGGCCATTCGACTCATCGAGTCCACACCAACCCTCCAAAGAACATCTCACCCAGACCCACACCCTAACTTTATAACCCTGCATTTCCCTAGTCTGTACATCCCTGGACACTATGGGCAATTTAGCCTGACCAGTCCACCTAATCTGCACATCTTTGGACTGTGGGAGGAATGTGGAGCACCCGGAGGAAACCTACACGGGCACAGGGAGAATGTGCAAACTCCATACAGATAGTAACCCAAGGATGGAATCGAACCCAGATCCCTGGTGCTGTGAGGCAACCATGCTAACCATGACTCCTAAGAAGCAATGAGAAGAGCAAAGAGGGGGCATGAGAATGTGCCGTCAGG